CACTTGTATTAGCATTTCATGGATGGACTGGAATTGGGAAGAACTTTGTTGGCAATGTCATCATGAAACATTTTTTCAAGCACAAGACCAAAAGCCCATTTGTGCACAAGTTTATCATTCCACTCCACTTCCACCATCGATCAGAAGTAGAAATGTACAATCGACAGTTGTTGAAGTGGATCAGAGGGAATTTTTCACATTGTCGAAAAGGAGGTTTGTTTATATTTGATGAAATGGACAAAATTCACCTTGGCATGATGAATACAATCAAAGATGCTCTCTTGGATTACTGCGGCAAGAAAGCAGAAAGCAGCCATCAGAACAGGGTCTTATTTTCTTGTCGAATTCAGGCGGGGAAGCTATTAATCAGCATGTATTAAAGCACATCCTTGATGGAAAACTGAGAGAATCTCTAACCCTAAAGGAACTGGAAGTTATTTTTCATGACATTGCAAAGAAGATACCAAATATCTGGTTTGGAGACCTGCTGAAATTGGAAGTTATAGATTACCTAGTGCCATTCCTTCCTTTGGAACGAACACACTTGAAGCAATGTATCAGACGAGAACTTGCCGAGAAAAGGTACAATCTAAAAGAATCTTTTGTTACAGAAATTGCTGATCAGATGGATTATTTCCCAGAAAGCCACCAGTTTTTTTCTGCATCTGGCTGTAAAAAAGTTTCATCCAGAGTTGACATGATTATGGAGTAAACGCTTTTTAGCTGTGAAAAGGGTCGTTTAGATAACAACACATATTCGTGGAGGAATGTTTTCAGTGATGAGAGGAGATAAAAGCGACAGAAATATTGTTCAAGTGGCACAGATGTGTTTAAAATGTGTTTTAGTTGTACCCATTTGATCTAATTTTATTTTAGCAAAGATGCACTTTGCAGATTATTATGCCTGAAAGAAGGAAGGAAAAATACAAACACTTTTTTGGCAAAGATTTTAGGTCAGAATTGCATCACTGAATAAAATCTCATATTTTGATTGGTTAACAAAGGGAGTTATTCAGTGTGGAATTGCAATTTAAAAATAAGGCTGAGTGATATTGTTTCACATCTATGTAAACATAACAACTATACATGTTTTCTTTTTTCCTCATTTTTTTTCAATTAATATCCAATTCAAGGAAAATCCATCACTTGACTTGTGAATTCCCAGTTAAATTGCACTTGAAAACCGATATAGCACTCATCGATTTGTGATTCGTGCAGTTTTCAAGTGCAATTTAATGGGGAATTCTCCTACAAGTAACGAATTTTCCTATAAAACTGTTTGCCAGTATATGTTTCTTTCAGTTGCACAGTCATTTAAGATTCAGAGAGAGAGAGTGATGTCAAAAATGTGCATATCTGTGAACAATGGTGATAATGTTAGAAGGACTTGGTTTTTTTTTTTTTCAGAGAGGTTAGAAGATGCAGTTGTACTTTTAATTAAATAGGAAATTAGCCAGGCTCTCACTTTGCAAATCAAAACTTCTGTTTTAAGTCATTGATGTCATTCTCTCTCTTAATTCAACTCAACTGGAACATTTCTCGTAATGCAAACAATTTAAGCAAAAAATCCTAAAAGAGTCAGTCTTTTTGAAATACAGTCGGAGGAGCGTTATAATTCGCATGGTATTTTTGTAAAAAAATAAGATAGGAATGAAATGAGCACATAAAA